AGAGTTTTCATACAAGCACTCTACAAAATACTATTTTCCAGTACACAGAAACTTACATTTCAGAGAAACATACATTCTCACTTAGTTTTATTTACTAATAAGATTATGAAATACTATTAACTGAGTACAAAAATTCTTACGCATTTTTGTCTTATGGCATTAAGACTACAATACATTTACAACAGAAAATAGAGGATTTTCTGGGAGAATATACTAACATTTTCAAAGATCAAAGACAAGCTTTCCATCTCAAAAACATACTTATGAACTCACCAACTTAAATGTTGATACACTTTCAAAATCACTTGTATTCTCAGGGAACCAGTAGACAGGTACGCTACAAGTTTTTGAGAAGACGGAGCATTCATGGTGTCACGTCTATACTTTTGTTATACATTTTGATGTTATACAAACAATGTTGCAAACACAATGTAAACAATATATTATCAATGCAATGGTTGTTGTTACTTTGATTACTAATATTCAATTGTTGAGATATTGTACCTGATGTCCTCCACCCCCGAACGTTTCCGCCGTTCCGGTTTGGGGTGTGACACTATACACGAGGATATATAACACAATATAGTGGGATGACGTTGGTGACTTCAACCCACAAGTACAGTGAGAAAAACTCACCTTGTAGTCTAGAACATAACCGAACTGATCTCCGATCCCAAAACCAGCTCCATGGATCACTTATACAACAAATAGGGGCCAAGTCACATTCTACAAATCCAAAATCCTCGCTTTGAACAAAATTCAAACTTGGTCAAAGTCAATGGTCAATGGTCAAAACGTCAATGGTCAACTCCAACCGACCTACGCTTAGTGTAGCAAGCAACTTTATGCCCAACGTAGAGCTTAAGGTGGTAAAATGGGTAAAATCAGGGCTACACCCATCGTAAGGCATATTCCGCCCAACGTAGCCACCTGATGACCAACTTAATTGTTATGTCCTTAAAACAGACAATCAGCTCTTCCTATTTTTAGATCTATACCATATGGACATCTTAATGGATAAAGTTTTTGCCTTTATCCATTTGCATGTTCACAAGGAGCACAAATCCTAAACTTAGGTCCTTAAAGTCATCTATTGCTCAAGAACACATGCATGGATGGATGAGGGTGACCAAGCTCTAATTTTTATGACTTAACAACCCAAAAAACGACTGGAAATGATACTAAAATGGTATGGAGTAGCTCATACTCATATAAACCAAGGTTATGGGGACAAAACTATGAAATACTCAAGAATAACTAGATCTAACATGAAACATCATTAATGTAGAAACTTTATACCTTATGTAGGTTGTGATACCTGTAACTACCCGTGTGTTTCCAAATGTCAATCATCATTTTTGTTTGAGGCATATCCACAAGAATATGAGACTTCGAAGGAAATATGACGACATAAAGGATTAAGTGCGGACTTGTGCCAAGGAAACCATAATAATACATTTCAGAAGGCCATTGCAGAATTGTTGAAAATGAACAATGAAGCTCATCAATGGGTAAGTAAGATTCCATACGTACATTGGGCCATAATCATTTTTCTAGCATTATTATGTCTACTCAATTACTGATTCTCTAATTTTATGTTCATGTTTATCAATCCTCCGTGTCTAATTTTGTCGATTTACTAAATGTAGGAGGGATACATAAACTGCTTGTTGGATAATATTTTTTTTTAATTCAAAGTTGGATGAGGGTAGAGACAAGCCTATCATTACATGTCTTGAGTTTATAAAGGAGTACTTGATAAAATGATGACAATTATGCACAAAGAAATTGAAAAATGTGAAGGAGCATTAACACCATATGTCACCATAATTTTAAAAGAGGTCAAAAAAGATGTTGCTTAAGATAGGTGTATATTTGCTGGTAATGGAAAGTATCAGGTTACTGGTCCTAGAATGGATTAGTTTGTGGTAAATATGAGGGAAAAAACTTGCACTTGTAGGGTATGAAATGTGACTGGTATCCTATGCAAACACAGAGTAACTGTCATATTTGCCATGTTTGATAATGGATTGGAAGTTGGAGCTCTAGAAACTTGGGTAAATCTTTATTATTGCTTAATACCATGGAAAGAAATACATAGTTACAAGATTGAACCAATAAATTGGAAAAGCATGTGGTTAACATGCAACTACCTGACCACTGTTCCTCCGAATTATCTTGCTAACTACTTAAATAATTTCGATATTGCTTATAATCATGTTGGTTTAGGATGGTAGGCCTAAAAAGAAAAGGACAAGAGATGTAGATGAATGGAGCAACCAAAGTCAAAAGTTGTCAAGAAGGTATATGATTGTGACTTGTAGCAAGTAAAACAACAAGGTCCACAATTCAAAATGTTTTAAGGGATAAGGTGGATCACGTGAGGCATAAAGGAAAGAGGAAAGGCAAGGAAGAAGGACAAGTGGAAGGGAAAAATGGTTTAAGTTTTTTTTGCATGATTTTTTTTATGATTAAGTATGTAAGACAATGTTGGTTTGTATTTTTTTTTGTGGTGTGAAAACCACCTTTAGAAAATCTTTTATGGTAGTTCTTTTCAAACAATCAACATATGAATATGTTTTAAAATAATTGCATGCAGTGGCGGCCCTAGGGGAGTGCGGACGGTGCGGTCGCACGCGACCTTCGATTTTAAGGGGCCTCCAAAATTTGGGACAATCGTAAAATGCATTTTTATGTGTTATCATCAAAGAAAATTAGTCGCAGGTTATGTATATATATAATGTAACATTTGGTTGCAATCTTGAATTCTTTTTTATTATGAAAAAAGATCAAAGAAAATCATAAATCAAAATCTAATCATAAGTTCTAAAATTTATCAACAATTTAAGAAAAGTATCTATATCCAAAGAAAAATACAAATTTGTTTTAATATATATTCTAACAAATATTTTATAAACCCACCAAAAAGTAAATAACAAATTAAACCCTAATAACGGTGCGAGTGGATTGTTGGTGTTGCTCGTCTCTCTTGCAGAAAATTATCATTTTACTGTCTTGAATTTTGATATTTAAGTCAGTGGTCATCGCTTTGTCCTCCTCTAAATGACTCGCTGACTATTGTTACGGTTAGTATCTCTTAGCTTTTTTAATTTCCCAAACGTGCTTGACTGCTTTCTCTCCTATGTTGAATGGGTCAAACATGAAGGGAAAACATAAGTCTATACAGAAGGAGCTTTCAGATATTTGTCCTAGATCATTTTACACCCCGTGTGCTTCACATTATATTAACATGACATTCCCAGGTATGATAAATTCTTGTGAAAAAGAAGTTAAGTTTTTGTAGTTATTCAACGTATTTATACATTGTTTGTTTTGTTGATTCGGCAAACAGTTGTAGGTTTTAAAAGACACTTTATCCAAACAAAGTCTCACTTTAAAATATTTTCGTCTACAAGGTGGGAAAGTAAAGCAATAGTAACTCAAGCTCTTAAAATAGTAGAAGCTTTATATAAACTTGTTGATGAAGAGACAAATATAAATATCAAAAGTGAAGCTACTTGTCTAGCAGAATATGAACTTGACAGATTTGACTTTGTTAACAACTTTAAGTTTTGAATTTAGCGGTAACAAATATACTTAATAATATTTTATAAGAATTTACTTATGGGGTCTCACTTCGATTTTCGTACAAAGCCTGATGTCAAGTCAACCCTGATTGCACGTAACTTTTTTTAAGTTTTATTATGTTATGTTTTGCCTTACATGGTTTTTATGGTTCCATAGGCAATGACCATTAAGTGGTCGTTATGGCATGTTTTTGCAAACAAGATTACCTTTAAATTAATCAAAATGTTTTTCATACAAAATTACCTTTAAAATAACCAAAATACTATTACAAAAACGTCAACCAAAATACCATTATACAAAAAAAACCCAAAAAACAAAATGACCATTACAATACTAAACGCTACTACATTCAATACTCGAAGAAAATAAAAATTGAAATTAAAACCGAAGTACGTATGCATAATAACTTGTATATCTTAACTTCAGTGACTGCAAGTTGAAAAGCTTCTTCAATCATGTTTTTTTCACCTAAACAAGTGCGAAAAAATTTTCATGGTCTAGGGTACATTGGTGGTTCAACCCATCCAATGAATGAACACTTCGATCCAAATTTTGATCATACCCAAAACCTTCAACCTAGATTGTTGTCCGTCTACGATGTCAATATTTGAGCTGATCAACACAAAAACAAAAGCCACCAATGTCGTCTTCGTGTTCTTTCAGAACCGTTAGAGAAGAAAGGGGGAATATAAAGAGAACACAAGTCAGGAAATAGGTTTTTTTAATAAGTCAAGGTGAAATAGCAACGTTGTTGTTGTTGTTGTTGTTGTTGTTGTTATTATTATTATTATTTTTAATGATTTTACCCTCAAATGGTGTGCACCTGAAGACAATTAACGTAGGTCTGACAATCGTGTCGTATTCGGGTTGGCGTGTCGCAGGTTGGCGGGTTAAAATATGCCAACCCAAACACGAACCATTTAAATATACAGGTCACGGGTTGGCGGGTTTGGAACATAAACCCACATATGACCCGCGAACCCATTTATTTATACGGGTTCACAGGTTGGCGGGTTCGTGGGTTGGATTTGGGTTTGTGGGTTAGATTCCATAAATAAAATTAACAATTAAACATTAATAAATTTTTTATGGTTGATGCAAACATATCCGAATTTTAGACACTTAACTACTTAAGTCTTAAAGTCTTAACCATCCAAATGAAAATTAAAAACATTCATAGAAACATGTTCAGACTAAACATTAATACAAACAGAGATAATTCAAGTGCTAAAGTAATAGCCACAATTCCATTTTTTTTTCTTCCAAAAAACAAAGTTAATTCTCCAACACCATTTTCTTCTTTATGATGAACTTCAACCTTCAAGTAGAAACAATAGCCAAGGTTAAAACACACACAAGTAAAATTATAAAAATGTATAGTTGTCATTAAAAATAACTCACTAAACGTCGACTTAAAGTTTATTAGAACTCGTAACCTCTGTTTTGTCTTCGGCAATGTTCATATCCATGACGTTTTGAGTTAGTTTATCGATATCAACATGAGTATCAACTGAATAAGAAAGATAAAAATAAAAAAATCAATACAAAATAATAGTTAATATAAGTAAACAATAAATTATAAATACTACCTTTTTCTCCAAACAACCAATCCCTACTACAAATTACAGCTTCAACAATGTCAGGCTTCATGGAACTTTGATATTCATTCAAAACTCTTCCACCGAGACTAAAAGTTGATTCAGATGCTACTGTTGAAACGGGAACACAAAGTATATTCATAGCTAATTTAGCTAATTCTGGATACCTATACTGTTGGGATTGCCAAAACTCAAGTATGTTAATGGAAGAAGTTCTTTTAGTTCTTGGCTCAAGAAGATATACTTGCAATTGACTTTTTTTGGTCGAATCCATATCATCATTATCGTATTCATCAAACTCCTATTATATTAAATAAAATATGAAAAAATTATAATATATTTAAAACAAAAAAATATAAAGCAAATGTAATGAAAAAAGGACTTACCTCAAGCATACTATGATTAGAGCCTCCTCCAACATTTCCAACACTAGCTTGTCGAGAATTAAAGTCGCCACTATCACTACCACTACCACCTCCAACATTTCCAACACTACTTTCTCGAGAAGCTTGCATGTATTCATCAAAAAGTGAAAAAAGTGCCTCCTCAACCTTCTTCAATTGTGATGAACCTTCACCATACAACTTTTTATAGCTAAACTCAACAAAAGAGAACTTATATCGCGGATCAAACACCACAGCTATAGCTAACAGAAGATTGAAATCAGCCTAATATTTGCTAAATTTACTCCACATTTGAGTAGCTATTTTTTTCATATACTCATCAAAACTGTCTTTCGTTTCAACCAACTTCAAATGTATTCAAAATATTTGAGGGAAATACAAATTTGAAGTAAGATAAAGAGATCCTGAAAACTGAAGAGTTGCATCATGAAACACTTTAAAAAAACTACACATTTTCTCAACTCTATCCTACTCATCAGAGGATGGGCAGGTTTGAAAGTTCGAATCACTCAAGCTCAAATGAGAAAAGGCAAGACGATAATAAAGTGCACAAGAAAGCATCTTATAAGCGGAATTCCATCTAGTAGGAACATCTTGAACCAAATCCTTTTTGTAGTCAAGAAGATTTTGCGAGCAAATTTGAATAAATCGGTCTTTTCTTAGTGTAGATCCCTTGATATACTTCACACAATCTCTAACTTTCTCCACCGCAACATCAATTTGTTTCAAACCATCTTGTACAATCAGATTCAAAATATGAGCACAACATCTAAGATGAAATAACTTGCCATCATATACCAAAGAATTCATCAAATGAAATTGATTCTTAAGCAACTCAACACATACATCATTGGATGATGTATTATCCAAAGTTATAGAAAACAATTTCTTTCCAATTCCCCAACTTTTGATCAATTCACCCAACTTTTCTATGTGGAGGAGGAAAATGGGAAAAGTTTAAAATTCTCTTTTGTAAGACCCAACTACTATCAACATAGTAGGCCGTCAAACTCAGATAACCATCTGTAACGATTAAGGTCCAAGCATCAGAAGTCAAACATATTCTACTAGGACATCTAAGCAACTCATCCAGGAGTCTTTTTGTTGAGTAGCATATAATTTTTTGATATCAGACTTTGTTGTGTTCCTAAAAACAAGACTCGCTTCTGGTTCCAAGTATTTGCAAAAATTTCTAACTCCTTCATACTCAACAAAAGAGAATGGAAAGTCATGCCTAACCATAACATGAGTCACCATTTCTCGAAACGTTTCTTGACTAAACTTTGGATTTCTTGTAGCCATAACACAATTGCCGGAAGAAATCATATATTGACCGATATCTCTAGTATTTGAGATATCACATGAATCTCGATGACAACGTAGATTACCTGTTCCATTTTTACTTTCTGCCTGATATTTTGTCCCACATTTTTTGCACTTACAATACAGGGGCTCATTTGGTTTTTGTGGGAGCATTTCAAAACTTCTCCAAACATCTGAAGTTTTTTTTTTCCTTTTTTTCCTTTGCTTTGTAGAAGTACTCTCAACACCTTGTGATACACTTTCCGACCCAATTTCTTCAACTGAATCATCACTTCCATCATTAACATCCAAAGGATTGGTGTTATTAGTATCTGCCATAACTCTCCTACAATGAAAAACAGGAGGAACATCAAGTATAGAAATAAATACACAGATACATTTCACATACACATACACACATACACAGATAACACAGATACACTGTTCACACTTCACATACACAGATACATAGATAACACAGATAACACAGTCACAAACACTTAACCTGTAGATGCAGGATAGAACTGAAGATAAGATACAATAAACTGATATAAAACATATACTGATATAGAATTTCCTATTCAGAATTTATGGGCTGTTATCACTTTCCGATTAATAGCCAACATTACACATCAATTTCCTGTTCAAAATTTGGGTTTTCCTAGTTACGTGTTTGTGTTATCATCGATAGTCTCACTTCTCACAATCCTATTATAACCACTCATACACAATTCATCTTTGATTAAAAACCAAATCGGAAAACTGAAGAAGTGCATCTCTGTAATCGGAAAACTGAGACAAAAGAACAACTTAAGAAACATACCAGAGATTGATCGTATTGGCGCAAATCACGTTTAGGTCTTCACCAGAGATCAGTCGTATCGGCGCGACTCACGATTCAGGGGTGTTTGGCTTGTTTTTGAGAGGCAAAAGTCATTTTTGGAAAAGTTACAAAAAATCAGGTTTTCCTAACTTTTCCAAAAAGTCAGTTTCCCTTCTATCTAAAATCCAAAAGTAACTTTTAAAATGTTTTTACCAAACATCTTTTACCCTTTATCTTTTCCAAAAAGGACTTTTGCCTCTCAAAAAGACAAGCCAAACACCCCCTCAAGGCTTCACGGGAGACTGGAAGAGGGAGAATGAGAGATACGCTCAATCGCTCATACAGTCATACGCCGATACGCGATTTGATTTAGGGGCATAGGGAAAAAATGGGCAAAATCAAATGGTTACTGGTTACAGACTTACGAGTTACGACCTTAGGAGTTAGGCTTAGGCATCCACCACAAGTCAAAATGTCAACACTTTAAAATGGTCTATGAAATATGAATCAATGGTATTATGGTATATATATATATATATATATATATATATATATATATATATATTGTATAACACTTATTAAATATTAATACTTATACATAAATACATTTAAAAATAAAATATAAACGGGTTGGCGGGTCAACCCATTTGTTTATTGAGAAACCCATATATTACCCATTTAATAAACGGGTTGGCGGGTTGAAAAACTCGACCTAAATTCGTTTATTTCGTGTCGTGTCACGGGTCGTGTCGAGAATTGCCAGCCCTAAATTAACGACATGTTTTTTTGATGTTGTCTGACGGAAGGACCATTTGGGCCATATTGACAAAAGACAAACACCGAGTTTGTCCATTGTTTTGAATGTGGACTGGAAACGCCTATTTCCTCATACCACATGAACCATTTATGTAATTTTATCAATAATAGATTTATTTGAAATTTATTGACGTAAAGAGAACATCACTGCCGCTGCATCTGTTACTCCAAAACCGTCTGCAATGGAGGAACAAGAACAACGGCAACTGTCTTCACCTGAAATGGCTAAGTTCCAACTGAAAGACACCATTGAAGCTCTCCTGAAGTTGACGCTTATTTTATCCATCGAAGAATCCCTGGATTTAGGTTTGTCGAAGGAATTTTGCTCTAATCTCCTCAAGGACGACGAAGACGATCGCACTTACCCCTCTTCAACTTCAATTACAGGTATCCATCCCAAACTTTACCCACCAGTTCCATTTCTGCGACTTCGTTTTCGTTTTCCACAATTTTCCAAACTTCCTTTGATTTGAAGTACTTTTCGTCCTAAAAAAGTCGGTATTTTCCCCCTTTGATTGTCCGCTAAGGCTTCCATGCAGAATTTGAGATAAATGGCTTTCATCTATTGCGTTTAGTTTCAATTCAATTATTTTGGAATTAGACGAATGTTGGAGTTTGATAGTTATTAGTTAGCCTGGTAATCGGCTGAAACTTGTTGCAGATCTGTCGGAAGGTGTTCCTTCATATCCCTTATACAAGCACTTAGCATCAGCTTTGTGCAAGTCGATATCCAATGGGGCTGTTCATAGTATCAACGCCAGTATTCCCTTGATACATGAAGATTCTTCCATGAAACAGAAAGAACGCGAGTGGAACAAGATTATTCTGGAAAAAGGATCTGATCTAGTTAATGTATGTTCTCCTCTGTAACATCATTCAGTTCATATCATCACAGTTATTCTTTGACAGAAGCTTCCATTTTCTTCTTTCCTTTATCTTTACCGGGTTATAATTTCATCTCACAATCAGATGCTGGAGACTGTGGGGTTTGGACTTCATGTTCAGGAGCCCTTTTTCTCACAAATCAAAGGTCCTAGTATAACTTCATAACATTTGATTCTGTTTTCTATTATCGTACTCAATCTGGTAAAAAGCTTATACCTCAAACTGTTTACATACTTGTAGATGGGCAGAAAACAATTGAAGGAAGGTGTGCTGGTGGTGACTACAACCGGTATATGTAAAAAAGTTGTTAACATATGTAAATATATTGTTCATTTTGATGGACTAATATGCAGATTTATATGTAATCTATTTCAGGTTTAAGTTTTGCTTCGAAAATACCTATAATTGTGTTATTGGGTTAATTAATAACACTTTACTAATAATTGCTTCTCTCAATTCCTGATGGTTTTTAATTTATCAGTATTGAATCAGGATCTTTGGTTCTCTTCAACAAATGTTTGTTGCTTCAAGTTCATGATGTTCATTGCTATAGTTCATTTTCTGACATGTTAGCAACTGAGGATCTTGCTAAAGTTCTACCAGGTGTAGAAACCGTTGAAGAAGGTAATTGATAGGAACCAGAAAAATAGCAGTGAAGATAAAAGAAGAATTGTAAAGAAGATGAAGATGTAATAAAAATGAACTTCAAAACCTAATTGCAGTGAACCTCCCTCTCTCACAACCACAAGGTTGGAGCCAATACAAACTGTATCAAATATCTAAAATCAGAGCATCTAACAATGGAATCCTCTCCCCCTTTTATTCTTCTCTCCCTCTCTCCTCTAACTGACTTCAGCCACTTTTCCCAAATTGCCCTTTTGGTCCTTCTAGAATAAACTTGTACAAATCTAGGTTTAATGATGTTTGGCCTACTGATTCCAGATTCGTATCAGTAATCGTCTCTGATTTGTCAATTACATATATTCATTGTGCAAGTTTTATTGCTGAAGATGTATCCCCTTATTTCATGTGCTTCCTGTAATTTTATTCAACTTCTCATATAAGAGCAGCTATTTGTCTATAATATCTATGGTTAAATGCAAAAAGTAGCAATGTGCTTTCATTGATTTGTTTGTTATAGCATCTTACTTTCATTTCTTCCTATTACAATATTGTACTAAGGAAAATCTACCCAATTTTGGGAATATCATCCGTATACAAAGAAAATTCAACTGCTATAATTGGGGTAATTTTTGAAAGTATAATGTCATGATAAGAAAAAAAAATGAAAGTACAATGCCATAATTGGGTAGATTTTTAAAAGTACAATGCCTTAATAAGAAAAAAAATGAAAGTACAATGTTGTAGTTGAAAGAGATGAAAGTAGGATGCTATAATACATATAAAACAAAAGTACTATGACTTAATATCTGCATTGTTTCTATGACCTAATAACTAAATCTATAGCAGCTAAATCTTTACATTTTACAATGAGAATAATGGACATGTGATTTCAGGGGTACAAACTTATAGGAGGTTTTATTCGGAGGAAAAGGAAAGGGCAAATGGTGTTCTTGCAATATTCCTTACAAAACCCACATCACAGCTTTATGATCATTTGGCAGCTATTCTTGAGGTTAGTTGCTTCAAGTCTTATAATTTTCAATCAAACACACACGTCTTGCTATTGGATCATATGACCTTCTGTTATATAAAATATTCTTCAATGTATTTGTGAGAATCACTCATTTCATTATTGAAAACTCGTCATGGTAGTGATTGCCTGATTATAATATAGGGTTAGTTACAAAAAATTGCAATGTAATTTCTAATATTTCTAAACCAAATATTAGAAATTTACTTTTTTCCTTCCACTTATCAATCTGGTAAGCTGTATATGACCGGTTTATTTTATTTATTGCAGAAAGTACGACTATTTTTATTTACTTAATGCACTGTTATCAATAGCGACCATAGCACTCGCTATGGCGTTCAAGTGTCGCTATGGGGTCCATAGCGACGTAGCAACCTGTTTCAATTATATATATATATATATATGGTATAAATAGACCCGTATTAGGGTTTTTAGTTGATTAAGTCAAAGAAGCATCCGCTAATCCAACGTTCGCTCTATCTCAGTTGCTTCTCTCGACCCTCATTCGCGCTTCTTCAACGATCGCCAGTTCCTTAAATCTTCAACGATCTCTTTTTCCTTCGATTTCTCCTGTTCCGACGACTGTCCTGCACCGTTTTAGATTCACACTTGTTCTTTTTTGTAATATGCATGTTTTAGAACTTAGTTGAACTAATAGTCTTTGGGGTTTTTAGCTTATTTATTAGTTATAATTGCTAATTAGGTGAAGGTAAAAGTAATATTAATTTTTAATAGGTATTATACCCATCGCTATTTCATCGCTATTGCTATATAGCATGGAGATAGGTTGTCGCTATGCCCTTGCTATCGCCATGGATAACACTGAGTCTTAATGCAGAAAGAACGATTTAATAGAGAAAAATCCAGGGAAATGAAACTTCCCCTATTAAGTCCTCACTTTTTACGAATTTGTCTAAGTGTGCCATTGTTTTGTAAGATACTTTTTTACACATCAAACCCTAGTAGATGGTTTCCTTGGATTTATAAATTCTACTCATTTTGTAATTTCTAATATTTGGTGTAGGCGCTGCATTACGAAGGTGTTACGAGGCTTTTAGGCATTTCACACACTGTAGGAACAATTCCCGATGCACTTCCCCTCCCAAGATCTTCCTTGCTCTCTGCTTTTTCAACACCACATAATCCAAATGTATGATAACTACTTGTGATAGTGACACTCTTTTTGGCCTCATTTTTTATGCAGGACAGGATTGTCAATTTGTCATTATATATAATTATATATACATCTAATGTGATTATTTGTTATTATTCATATATCCATGAAATTCACTCGATCTCTTCTTCGTGACAACTTGATTTCCTCTTTGGTTTTGAGGTTAAAACTTCGATTTTGAGTGATGGAGCTAGGGCTTTGGCTAAGCATGTAAATAGAAGCAATGGAAAATTTTGGGGTTCCTTTGCCGGAAATGGTTGGTATTTATGTTTTTACCCTTTTGGGCGTGTATTCTTCTTCTCATTCAATCTATGATGTTTTTTTTTGTCAAGTTGATGTCTTTGAGTTGAGGCCATGTTTATTAGACACGACTCGATTTGATAGGACTGACTGAACAAGTTTTTTGGTGTCAGCTTCGATGATGAGGGTATTTACGTCTTTTACATAGACGAGAGATTGAGAGAATGTCTGTGCCCTGCTTTTTTGGGCGGGACTAATTTTTGTCCTATTGACATCAATATCGGTTGTCTCATCCACGATACTAACACACTATACAATATGTTCTGTTTTGTTATGTCCTAACTAAAGTCTAAAGAAATTTGAACTCACAACCTAAGTACTTAGGGTGCATTTGGTTGTGTAAAATTGTTTTTATTTTTCTGTTAAACGTTTTCAGAAAATAGACTTGAGTTTTTATTTTCATTTTCAGTTTTCAATGAAAATTGAGTGCATTTGGTTGTGGAAAATTCTCTAGTTTCTATGAAAATTTTCAAATGAAAATGAAAGTTTTCAAAACGTATTCGGTTGATTCAGTTTTCAAATTTTTTCCAAGAAAATAAAAATTTTTTGTTTTCCAAATTGTATGTAAATTAGAAAAGTGATTTTTACTGTTTTTTAAAGTTTTTTAAATTTCTAAGATGGAAATTGTTAACTCCATTGATTTTATACAAACGTATTTTCTAAAATTTTCATTGAAAACTAAAAATGAAAACTCAACTTAATTTTCCGAAATCGTTTTCTAGAAAAATGAAAACTATTTTCCACAACCGAACACACCTTATTGAAACCGGTAGAGTTTTTCATTTTTCATCTTAGAAATTTTAAAAAACTTTTGAATACCGTAAAAATCATTTTTTCTTTTTAGTTTACATATAATTTCAAAAGAAGATTTTTTTTGAAAACTGAATGCACTCTTGTTTTCATCGTGTTCAGAGTCTCATAAGAATATGCTTGCCTTAAATGTAATCAATCACTTGGTGGCCCATTGTTGTTGGATAAATGCGCATATTGTTCCACCACATGGGCCCGTTTTTGAGATCCGAGTTCATGATGGTTATGGTGCTCGATGGGCCTTAAACCCACCCAAGGTATCATCACACGACCCTTTCCAAATTGTTTGTGTTTCCCATTTGTCAGTTGTCACCAAAATATTATGCACTAGGGTTTTTTTATATAGTAAATTACATAAACCATCCATGTTGACAAATAATTGACATTACTGATACCAGAGAAGATAATTTTATTACATGGATATTTATGGAAAGCTTTTTGTTCTTGTACCGTTTAACTTAACGACAAGCTGTTAAATCCATATAAAATGATAACTTCCAGTACAGCTGTAAAATTACAAATTTACTTTTATCTAATTCATCTTCTTCGTCAATGTCGTCGACTCCCTAGGATGTAATTAATTAATTTTTGGGGGATATGCCTTGTAATATTACTATTTATCAAATACTTAATATTCTTCAACCAGTTAATTATCTATTGTGGTATTATATTTTATCCATGTACTTAAATCACATTTTCATTTTCTTTTGTTTAATTATATTTTATATTTAAATATTAGAAATAAAATAAATATTATAATAGCCTTTTATGCGGGGTGCATAAAAGGCTTCAAATAGATGATGATGAGTATTAACACGTTTTAAAAAAGCTTATACATTTGAAATGATTTATAAAATATGCTGCTATAGTGAAACATGATGTAATAAAATGAATAAGTTCTATATTATGTCAAACCATAATGGATGTTTTAAGTTTTACAGTTCCTAAACAACCAGCTAAAAAGATAATGTCAAGTTATCAGTTATATGATTTAACGATTGATTGTTAAGTTATACAGTCTACGTTAGGAACTTACGATATAATTTTTTTAAGGACAATATTCATAATTTTTGTTATAGTACAAGCACCATTATTTATATAATCTACTCTAAAATTAATCTTAAATTAATTTTGTAGTTCATTGGATTTCTTGAGCCATACATGGAGGATGGTCATGCAAGGGGATGGAAACATTAATATTTAATACATCCATTCAAAAAATAGACAAATGGTTGTCATCGTGATAGTAATGGATCAATTAAGGACGGCAATATTATATTTAATATTATATTTAATATTATATTTAGCCAACTTAATTAATTACATTTTACGTTTTTGGGGACAATTTCATAAGATTCTCCAAAAGCCAAATGGATGTATACATACAATGACTAACAAGTCAATATACCTCATCCTAATGAAGACTTCTATTTTGATTTTAGGGAACCAAAAACATTGGTCATTTCAGTTTCTTATGTACCCTTGATTTAGATTTTTGCATTTTTTTCTATTTATAAATCTTTGTTTTATAGAATTTTATGTTTAACGCTAGCATTTACATTATATTCTGTTTTCGTATATTATCCCCCAAAATTGTCTTTCATGTTAGCTAATTTATTAAAAGATTAAAAGATGATATGATTCTTGAAAATAAACCAAATTCCATAATTTTTTTCTTGGTTAATGACTTGCAACAAGTGTATACATTTAATCATTAAAGTTTTTTTTCCCTATACTTCTACCACTAAACTTTTTACATTGTTTATAGACAAAATTACATTTAATCATTAAAGTTTTTTTTCCCTATACTTCTACCACTAAACTTTTTACATTGTTTATAGACAAAATTACAAAAATGGTCATTGTTGTTTACCAAAAGTCACAAACTCAGTTTCTGTTAATTTTTTTGACGAATATGGTCTTTCTGGTTTCCAAAACTTGTATGAATGACCCTCTTTTTGCTAACGTCGTTATTGTTCATCCGTTAGTGTGAGGGTATTTTGGTTTTTTCAAGTAGCAAGCACTGAGTTTGTGACTATCGATAAACCATAGAGACCATTTATTTAATTTTTTTTTTGTATTTTATGTTTATGAGTTTGTGTCTTTTCCACCATTTTATTTTTTAAAATATCACTTTGAACCCTTCATTTTGAACTTTGAAAAAAATTATTTTCACCCCTTTAATTTCAAAATATTCGTGTTTAACGCCGTATTATATATACTTTGATTTTCATTAATAATTTCCATTCGTTAACCTTAAAAAACGATTTTTTAAGTGTTTATTTATATATATTTGTCAGTATAATTCAACGTGTTTAACGTTTCAACTTTAATTTAGAACTTTCTTCCGTTGATTTTTTGTTTTTTAAATTAAATGTTTTTTTTTAATAATGTTGCCGGTTTAAATTCGAGTTTGTCACATATAATATTTTATTTTTCTTGTGTGTTTAAGTTTATGTACGTTTCCTACGTATGAGACGGATCACATACAATAACTTTTGTTTGTTAATTTTAAAAAAACATATTATATTCGAGTTTGTTTATGTTTCAATGTATTATTTGTTTTTACATTTTTTTGCTTAATTTTATGTACATTCCTACGTATTATTTGAGTCATATATAATAACTTTCATTCGCTAGTTTTTAAAAATGTATTATATTCGAGTTTGTCTACGTTTTGACGTTATTTTTTTTACGTAACAATATAGATTCGAGTTCGTCTACATTTCGACATAATTTCTTTTATGTTTCGCGCTTATTTTTATGTATGTGTTTTTCGTTCTTATTATTTTTTTTACGTCAAAACGTAACTTTTATCAATACAATCATAAAAATCAGTGCTTATAATTATGCTTTTATCTATTATATGTGAACAAACCCATACATTAAATATGCACCAAAACGTACAAAAAAAATTCATCGAAATATTAAAAAAAACTCAAATTTATATCGATGCGTGCATAAAAATAAGTAAGATTTTTTTTTTAAATTAACGAACAAAAACTTAAATAATAAAAAACGTATTATATGTGACCCGAGTCATACATATGAAACGTATAACAATTTAAGCATAAAAACGTTAAAAAAATACGCTTCGTGAAACGTAGAGAAGCTCGATGATAATACATTTTTTTAAGTTAACGAACAAAAGTTATTATATGTGATCCGGACGATATGTAGGAATGTACTTAAAAATTAAGCAAAAAAATGTTTAAAAAAAATATATTACGTCGAAACGTAGACAAACTCGAATATAATACGGTTTTTAAAATTAACAAAGGAAAGTTATTATATTTGATCCGCCTCATATGTAAGAAACGTACGTAAAGTTAAACACAAAAATATATAAAAAAACTACTTCGAAACATAGACAAACTTAAATTCAAATCGACAATTGTATAAATAAAACAAATAATTAAAAAAAAATAGCGAAAGAAAGTTCTAAATTAAAGTCGAAATGTTGACCACCTTGAATTATACCGATAATTATATAAAAATAAACATGTAAAAATATTTTTTTTAGGTTAACGAACAAAAGGTATTAATAAAAATCAAATTATATATAATACGGGTTTAAACACAAAAATTTAGAAAATAGAGGAGTGAAAGTAATATTTTTCAAAGTTCAAAGTGATATTTTAAAAAGTAAAGGGGTGAAAAATGCACAAACTCATAAACATAAAATGTAGAAAACGTTACATAAATGGTCCCTATGGTTTACCCTTAGTCATAAACTCAGTCCCTGCTTGTAACATCCCCCTCTGACACGTATCACAATATTGTCCGATTTGGGTTCCCGACACGAAACTTCCCAGGGGTCACCCATCCCTTCTCTGGAAAGTATCACAATATTGTCCACTTTGGGCTCCTTGCACGAAAACTTCCCAGGGGTCACCCATCCCTGAATTGCTCTAGCCCGGACATGTTTAACTGCAGAGTTTTTATGGGATCAGCTGCCCTCACGGTTTTAAAACGCGTTGTGACAAGGAAGGTATCCACACCCCTTTTAAGGAAATGCTTCGTTCTCCTTCCAAGCCGATGTGGGACCAGGTGCAACCCACCTTCACCCCCCATTATAGGGTTCGACGTCCCCGTCGAACACATCGACTCGTGCCCCAGCTCTGATATTATAGGGTTCGACGTCCCCGTCGAACACATCGACCCGTGCCCCAGCTCTGATACCATTTGTAACATCCCCCTCTGGCACGTATCACAATATTGTCCGCTTTGGGCTCCCGGCGCGAAAACATCCCAGGGGGGTCACCCATCCCTGAGTTTCTCTCACCCGGGCACACTTAACTGCAAAGTTCTTATGGGATCTGTTGCCCTCACGGCTTTAAAACGCATTGTGATAAGGAAGGTATCCACACTCCTTATAAGGAAATGTTTCGTTCTCATTCCAAGCCGATGTGAGATCAGGTGCTACCCACCTTATTAGGTGGGTTGCATCCATAAACAAAGTTTTTAATGCAGCCTATCCTGCTGTGACAAAGTTTTTGATTAATCACAATAAGTTAATACATCTTAGTTATCACCATACAACGAATGAGAAGACAAACGGGCAACAAGTTGCGCCGCTAAGCCTTTTTATATGGTAAAACCAACTCTTTTGAAGATTACATCCATAGATCTAGGGGATATAACATTGCTATGCATGATCCGTTGTACTCTAGTAAGAAGCTTCACCGCATCCGGCGCAAGGAAATCAAACGTATCAAATGCAAATGATATGAACACATGTTGATTTTCCATGCACAATTTCTCATGTTTGGCAATCTTGCATGTATCAGCTTTTAATGCAGCCTGTCCTGCCGTGAAACCTCCGTCCCTTAAGCCTACGAGAGGGGATACCTGTGTAAGGTCCACATATGCGTGTTCCCTCCAACCCATCCAAAAATCAAAACGTCATCCGGTCTAAGGGTTGACCTTCCTTCTGTCGGTTCAGTCAGGAAATTCACAGGAGCCTCTTTCCTGACGGAAACCCCGACACGCTTAAATATGTCGACCAAATTATCCCTAACCATATCGTGCCTGTATTTGAACTTCGAGACATCTTTTCAGTGAACTGCATGCTCTCCACAAAAGTCCAAACATGCCTTGCGGCACACCAGACATATCTCGTCGGCTGGGGATATTGAAATCATGAGTCGATATTTGAGGATGGTACGATACTCTACAGGAGACATATGTTGACTAAGCCCATCTCTAGGGATAGCTAGAAGAAAATCGTGAGCATGTGGTGCACGGAAACACTGGAAAACTGCTTTCTACCGAGCCGTCATGTTGAAATGCACTTCCATATCTTGGAAAATTTTACAAAAAAGGGCACTCGCGAGTGTATTCTGGGATTTAGGGGGGGGGGTGTCCTTAGTAGTAAAACTGCCAAGGTCAATGTCTGAAAGCTTGTTATGAAGAGAAGCTAAAACACAAGCATAATCAGAATCCATAGCATAAATTTTGCTATCCCGTAAGATGTGGTCTTGCAATACACAAGATTGGGCCCTTGAGGCAACAAAATCATATGAGGTAGCCTCTACTGTCGAGTATAAACCCAAACCACCAAACCAAATGGGTAGGGAAGCAAGTCGCCACTATATGTCTCCAAAGAAAGGGCCACCACAAACCACAATGTTCTAAATCGCCAGATACACCCAATTATCGAAGAACAACGCCGCCTCCTCCATATGAATGGGTTGGAACGTCCTCAGCCGAAAGAAAAGTTCAACAATACCCATACACGACTGAAGTAGAAGGAGCTCACTCTGCGGGTGAGACAATTATGGCAGAAGGCGCATCAAATTCACAACATTTTCAGCTCTCTTTATGGATAAGCTGCTAACGAAGCTAACATTTCTACTAACAGCTCCCCCAAGAGGTTTCACCCTTAATGGCCGCCTCCCGATGCCAACCGCGATAGCCCCTCATGCAACCTCCTACCATCACACGAGGGCCAAAAGAGCTCGGTTTTCTTGATATTCAACTGAAGGCTCAATTTTGGGCCAATAACCTTAATGATGTCTAATGCTTTGGCCACCTCCTCAAAATCTCCAATAAGTGTGTCATCATCAAGGTACCATGCATGGAGAAAAATCTTGCATTTGTCTCAAATTACACTTAAAGTTTTGTTTTGGAACTACAAATTACATTAACCTACTAACAAGAAGTTAAAAGAATAAACAAGTTACAAGGAAATAGAA